TGTTTGTCTGGTACCCCTGGATTGCACCTGTATGAACACATGCAGCAGCAGCCCAACACAATTAATAAAAAAAGTGAATTGTTGGTGATCTCCCTGTTATCCCAGTGTTCCTTCTCCTTGTACTTCTTAGGAATAGGTCAAATGTTTATTTTTTTTAATTTGAAGCCACATTAATTAAAATGTCATTGTCCGATTTAACTGAAGGTCACTTAACTTTCCTGTAACATCCCTCATGGAGGCTAAGTGCTGTCGGCCCTGGATTAACCAGCATACTAACAAGGACACCAGACACTGCTAATTTTGTTCAGCTGAAACTTAAGAGTGACAATATGGTCAAGAACACTGCAAAATGTTCCAGAATGCTGGAAAAGAATATAGAGAGTAGTGAACCCACCGTAGCAGCCTGAGATACAAAAGAGGAAAGTTTATACCACTAAGTACTTAAGAGAAACTGAAAATTCAGTCTAGAAAACCAAAGACTCTAGAAAGATTCTGAAGTTGCTATAAGAAATCGAGAACCTTTCTTACATGAAGTCTGTCCACCATCTAAAAACCTCCATCCTTAAATATTTTGCACTGTATTTTCATCACTGGATTGATCTGATTATTTCTATCAACATATATCCACACTACCTATTAAGTTCCTCATTTCATTTTTTTTTAAGATTTATTTATTTATTTATACAAGCACTGGGCACAGTCAGAAGTGTGGGAGGGTGAGAGAATTCACCAAAGCCAGAGCCGAGAGCAGAACAGGCAGACTGATGAAGTACACTGCTGAGGGGAGCAGCGGGCACAGCAGGAAGGTCTGCGAGCCATGTGGGACCCTCGCCAGTGGTCTGGGATCGAACTGGCGCTGCAGAGGCTGCGGGCAGCTTTGCAGCCCATCGCTCAACAGCTGCGCCACTGGGGAGGCCCAAGTTCCTCATTTCTTTATTCATAGGAAGGGATAGAGCGTATTGTGTACCTAGTAAAATTTTACATTGGTCATTGACATTTTTGTGTACTTGCTTTTTATAAGATGTTACACTAAATGTTTTGAATACACTATTTAATTATATCCCCAAAAGTGCCCGAGGTAAGAGATATTTCCAGTTTATAGAAAAAGAACCAAGGTTGGGGAAAAGTGTGATGTTCACAGTTACTAAGCCAGTAATTAGATCAATCAGAAATGGAACCCAAGACATGTAACTTCAAAGGCCATGCTGTTAACTGTTCTAGTCTACCTTCTCCATACACCAGGCACTCCATAGGTAATCTGGGAGGTTTACAGACTTACAGACTAAAGCCCATATAGTTGTCCTGCAGGGAGTATGTTTGGGGGGAGGTAGCGTGGGGCCTGTTTATCTTCTATGCCAAAGAAATAGAACAAGTCTGTGAACCTGTTATTTGCCCCTGGGGATCAGAACAGGGAATGCCTTTCAATTTAAGGAGGCCAATTAGTTTTTTGAAGTCCTTTTTTGCCCAAAACTTGCCTACTATGTCCAGGCTCAGCAGGGAGCAAGGAAGACACATCTAAGAGTCAGGAGGCTACCTTGGTAAGAGCTTGGGCTGTAAATGATTTAAAATTGAATCTTTTCCTTATTGAGATTTTTTCATTCCATCTCTCTAACACTGACACTCATACTCACCTCTTCTAGCAAAAGGAGTGGTTGCTTCTAAAATTAATTTCCTGAATGGTGCTTTAACTAGTAAAGGGAGAACTTTCCCAATTTCACTGTTCTTGAGCTGGAGATAGGATTCCTGGAATACATGGTGTGTTCTAATGCTTTCATATGCAGAGCTGAAGCACTGTTCCATATAGAGTGGCTTCAAGTTCGAACAAAGATGTATTCATTGCAGCAAATTATAGTAGGGTGGGGAGCAAGATTATCAGAGACCTGGACACAGTTTAGCCTTGCCGTTTTATCAACTGCTGCTATGATGAATGGGGTGGACTGCATCAAATGCTGGATTGCCTCATCCTGTCGGATGGAAGGGGGCTGAATTTCTCTCCTTTTCAAGGTCCCTGAGGAATTCTGGGTCAACGTTGACATTTCAAACCACAGGTTTTCCTAGATTAGGACTTCTAAGAAAGAAACAATGCTAATAAATTCCATTCATCTTTCAAAAGCAGGGGGAGGAGGAGATGAAATCTGTTTCTTTTCTCTTTGTGCTGTTTTTAAAAGCCTGTGGTTAGAAAAGCAGCAAAATAAAAAATTATCCTTGTTGAAGTTTTCTTGCCAACAAAGCACCATGTTCTGGAGGTCATGCGTAGGAGAGAGAAGGACCTTTAATGGAGAGATGTCTTCGGGCAGCCACCATAGTTTGTCAGTTGCAGATGCTAATGGGACCAGGCTTGGCGACTGAAGGGGAAAATGGAATATGAAAGCAAAATGAAAGAGGCCTATGAGGCAAGCATGTCATTTCTAAATGAAGGTTTCATGCAAAGGAATTGAGTCTTTTCACAGCTGAAAATGGAATCTTTAAATAAGTTAAAATAAAAGGATGCTAGGGCTTGTTGCCGGTTCTGTAATGAAATACACTTTTCCTAATACCGTGTGACCTGCATTTCTCCCTGTTTTATGGGTGCTATTCCTTGACGTACAAACCCGTATTTTCTCAAGTCAGCATTTGATGATGGATGTCAAAATACAGGCCATGTATTATGCATATAGCATTACCGATTTAAGGTGTTTACTTGTCAAGTTGAAGAAATTCAAAAACGTCACATCCACTGAATCTGCACAGCTGTCACTTGCAGTTTTTCATGCTTTTGAGTGAAACTTCTGATGAAAACAGTTTAGTTTTCCCCTTCACTCTTCTAGGGAGAGAAAAGAGCTAATATTTAAAAAAATTCAATTCTTGGTTATGTGGTTGACTGAAAAACACATATTCCAAAGCTTAGAAAGATGGACACTACACTGTCATTCTAAATTGCTTATCCTGTGCACTATATATCAGCAAAAAGAATAACATTAAGTGCAATCAGGGAATGAATGGTAAATAAAACTTTTTTTTCTTTCCAAAAGTATGTTGTGCAATAGTATGAAATTTATACATAGGAGAGTAGAAAATAGGAAAATGCTTTCATGGTTTTTTTTTTTTTTTGGCATATCATGCATTATGCACCTCCAATACAATAGGCAATTATTGAGTACCTGTCATTTTATTCCTGAAAGATACAGTTTCACACATACCCTAATGCCTAGCCATGTCAAATTCTGAAGAGTGAGTCAGGAGTCTGGTCATACAATCTATTTGTAATTTTGTCCTTGAAAACTTCACAAGTGGCCTTGTATCTGTATGTCCCTAATTCATTGATGGGACAGCATAATCACCCACCAAGAGCAAATAAGAGAAGCCAAAATGAATGTGAATATCTACCTGTCCTCTAGGGTGGGAGAGTTGATGGTTCTTACCATGTGCATCACTTGTAAAATTAATGTCCACCAAATCAATGTATAAGATAAATCAGTGCTTCATAGTTATATGTCTTTAAAGAGACATCCTTAAAGAGATAATCATTGCTTAACTGGAATGATTTCTCACTGAACTTGAAGCTGTGGTTGGGCCAAACTTATTCTAATTATATACAAGGGATTTGGGTCTGAAACCCAAGGAAGATCAAACTGCAAAAATCAGAAGCCAAGCAGCCTTCACCCCCTCTCTTCCTCTTCCCCTCTCCTCTTCTCAACTTGTCCAATTTACTGAGCCCACATCTAACTTGTGGGGTCTGTGTTGACACAGAAAGTTCAAGTGTCCCCTATAAGCAGGTGGCATATATAGTAGTCAGGATGATTTTAGCTGAAAATAGAAAGAAAACAATGCCAGATTGATAAAACACCTCAATTTGGCTTAAACAAAAAGAAAATAATTATATATACCATATTATGTATAACTATCATTGTGTGTATATATACTTATATAGTGTTGTTATATATGTACATACATATGTATATGTACACATATATAAAAAATCCTACCTCAAAATTTTTGACATAGGTAATTATATATATAAAATATTATTAGATATATAATGTCATATACGTACATATATATATGTACACACGGAACAGATAAAATTATAATACATATATAAATCTGTACTGTGAAACCCTAAGTTCAGCTGGTCTTGGTTCTGAGGCTGGTTAATTCAGCAACTCAAGGACATTCTTCCTATCATTCTATCTTTCTGTCACTCAGTTCAGTGAATATCGTTAAGTTGTCTCTGTCCTTCACTGGTAACTAGCACTACAGGTACAAAACCAATGTCTAGTAGATTAAATAGAATTTCTTCTTATATGATTCACTTTAAGAGCAAGGAAATAATTCCTAAAGGCTCCCAAGCAGATTTCTTCCCACATCCCTTTGACCAGACTATTTCAAAAACCCAGACTTGCAAGTCACTCACTGGCAGGAAGAGGCAATCAATTGGTTTAAGATATCAGTCAGGATAGGTTAGGTTAAGGTGTGGTAACAACAGAACAAGTTTCAATGACTTTCAGCCACAGAGATTGATTTTTCACTCACTCAGAATGCTTTGTGGGTCTGGGCTTTGGTCCAGGACTGTTGTCCAGTCTTCATCTCCATGGTAACCCATGTTCCCACAGTTGCCACAGCATGTTAAGATAGTCAGTGAGTCAAACACTTGTATCAGAAGTGACATGGGACATTTCCTATGTCACATGGCCATATCCAACTTTAAGGAGCCACAGAGGTACAATTCTCACATATGCCTGGAGGAAGAGGGAAACAAAATCCATGAGCAGGGTTGATACAGATGTAGATAATGGTTTCTTGGGAATTATCACCATGGATTGGAATTATTCACAATGGTCTTCTACTTTGTCCTTCTATAAAAAATGTGTAAGAACTTATCCTGGGAGTGCTAATTGTTGACCTGTGAATCATGCATAAGCTACTTTTTTTTGATAGTGTATATGTACACTCTACTGTCATTTTTTCCCACATTTTCCACATCTTTGATATTTCTCCCTCCTCTCTGTCCTCTCCACTAGGGTTTACACCTCCAGGAATGGACAGAACTTCTCCAGATAATAGCCCTGTGCACGGGATGATACGCCAGCCGTCCATCACAACCGGGGTCAACATCCCCATCATCACAGAACTAGGTAGGGGTGAATGCCAGCTTTGGGTGGACTTTTTTTGTCCTCTCTTCCAGCCATGTGGGATATGAGGAAGTTGGCCTGTTTCTTAGCTCTTTCAACATTGTAGGCTCTAGTGTGGTTTGTCTTTTGGGAATAGGTGAAATAGAAGTATGAATGAAAATGTGATAGATCGCCAAAGGGGAAACTGATGTTTATTCTAAGATGAATAGACTGTTTCCTATGGATGTCACCTTTACCAAAGAAGCATGAGTTGATAGTTTTGACATGGGGGCATACATTAGAGAAGGGGAAGGGAGGAGAGGTATGGTCCATAGACTCTGGTGATTTTCATTGGAAGCACCTCCCAACAGCTCCTGTAATCAGAACCCTCCACCAAGGAACACAGCCTCATGTCAGAGCCAAACCTATTATGAGAACTGGATTAATTGGGCTAATATGTAACAACTCTGCATTTAATCTATCCCAGCTGAACTCAGCCAAAGGCTACTTTCAGTGAGTGCCACTCTGGTCTAAAAACATGATGGGGTTTTGAGGACCATGTTCATTGGCCAGGGGAATCCAACCACTAACTGGCCATGAGCCACCGGGGCCAGCCATCACTTGTGAATTTGTAAGTGTCGAGTAGTCTCCTCCCTGCAAGACAAATACCACTTATTTTTGGTCCTGGGTCTCTTTACTTCAGAATGTTTCCTCTGTTATTCCCTCACTCTTTTCTTTTTCTGTACTTTCCTCCACTCCCTTTCCCCAACCCTTAAATGCTGAATCCAATTAGCTAAACCTGGCAAGTTGCCTTTGGTATCAGTCAATCAGGAAAAAAACAGTGGGACGCACATTCTAATGATAACTGAACTGGGTAAGAAGCACTGTTTTCCTTCACATCAGTATCTCCTTTTGTTCTGTTGTTGGTGTTTCCAAGTATCATCAGCTTGTTTTTTCTTTCACCGGCTGTAACAGAAAGGCTACCCCATGGCACTGCTTTGAATGTGCTTTATTTGTGGCTCTGTTTGGAATCGACTGTCTTGTTCTGGCCTTTATTAATGATTTTTCCCCAAACACAGCATTGGTAAACCTTTGATCACACCCGTCTGACCTGGCAGTTGTTTCCAAAGCATCTCTGCTTTAATTCATTTTCTTTGGCCTGGGCTTTTTTTTGTTTTCTGTCTCCATGTGTCCCCCTAACTCTCCCGCCTTCTCCCTTATATTCCTCTTCCAACACACTGTCAGTTTGACTGACACGTCTTCACAGCTCTCAAAGGAAGTCAAAGGAAAAATATAAAAATTTTAAGATAAGAAACCTAAGATGGTGCCTTCCCTCCAGCTGTTTATTTTCCTTTATTCTGACTTTATTTGCCTTTTTTTTTTTTTTTTTTTCCCTACTAGGCCCTTTATCAGAAGCTCTGGTTCTGAAGCCATAAAAAGCAACCAGCTCCTAGGGGACCTTTCTTAAGAAAGCCAGATTTCAAGAAGGGGGCAAAGGGTGAAGTTAGCAACCACTGAGGTGCTCTGACACCCTCAGTGCAACCCCAAGATGGCCCACAGCCCTTTCTGGGAGATTCAGGGTAGAATCATAAGGAAGATGAAGGTCTCTGTCATGAAGTGTTTGCCAGATCCTTCCACATTTCCTCATGGCTTGGTTAATAACTCCATGAAAGGCATTGTAGGGTAAATGAAGTTCTCAGGCTTTTTTATCCCCACCCTTCTGCCACCCTTTAGCCTCTATGACTGCCACCTGCGGTCTTGCACCTCTCCTAAGTTACCCACATGGATGCCTGGAGCTAAGAGGCGAGAACTCGGGGCACACACACCTATGTTTATGGACACCTGGGCTCAGAGAGCATGGGGCCTGCGCATATGTAAATGCACATGCCTGGGCCAAGGAGGGATAGATGAAAGGGCAGCATTGCTCCCAGGCAAGACTGGATGACTACAAGACTAGACAATATGAGACTGAGAGGGAGACCCCCAGAGAGTGAGAGCACGCAGATTTGCTCCATTGCTTCCAGAGCCTCCCAGGCCACCGCCCTGCTGCCCTACCTGCCACCCTGTGCAGACTTGCCCAACAGGCACCCATCACCAGCAGATCTTGGAACTAGGGATTGATCTTCTAAATAGAGACAGTAAAAGTGCTTCTCTGCAGAAGGGTGGATAGAGAAGTGGAGAGCATCTTCCTTCAAATGACTCACAAAAGAAACCAACATGCCATTTCCTTGGCCCCAAAATATATTTCAAAATAAGAACAGGCTTTTAACACATTAATTTTAATTGTGAGGTGTCTGAAAACTAAGGAATAAATTGTCCACCATTCAGCACTGCATTATTGTAGACGTACCTATTTATCAGGACAGATTCATTCGGGTCAAGGAGCCTCACTATTTTCTGCTTCCAACAGTAGGAGAATATCTTTCATGTTTAGAGAAGTTGGCTAAATGCCTGGGTTTCTGGATTGTTCTCCAAACCTTAGGATCATAAGAGACCCAGAGAGTTCATGCAGCTCAGACTTCTGACTGGAAAATTCATTTCAGCTTCCCCATCCCAGACACCTTCAGTAGCATTTGAAAATCATCACTAGCAGGAATTTCTATTGCTTTATGGAATTCATGTGCTGCCAGCTAACTAGGATACCTAGATTTGTGGTTAGTGGAAGAGAAAAGAAAAGGCTTTGTGTCCCATCTCTGAGGCAACTATTCAGGCAATGAATCTCTGGAAGCTTTCATTGCCCACCACAGAGAACCTTCTGTGTATTCACATCACTCTGACCTTGTACCTGAAGCTTTGATTTTCTAATGGCCACACCACCTTTAGCAACATACCTTCATCTTCTCACTAATTCCTCAGATCCCCACAATATTCTCTACCTACATACTCTGAGATGTTTTCCCCATGACCAGGCAATTGAGATGCTTTTTACAAAACAAAGAGGGCTCCAAGGGCAATGAATTTTTAAACTATTTCAAATATTCTATTCTTCATCCACTTGGAGTGTCCCTATTGATGCAGAACGCAAAAGGCTACTCAATTCCACAAGAAGGAAATTTGTTTAAAGCCATTGAGCCTGACTCCACCAGTTATATTTGGGCACAACCCAGAACATTACGCAGCATTGTCACTGAACCCCAAATCTGGCCTTGGAGTTCATTCCCTAGCTTGCTAAAAATCTGCAGCCATCTCTCCCTATTTGTAGACAATTCTCCCCCTCCACCCGCCCCTCTCCCCGCCAGTTCTAGCACTAACCCTCTCTTATCTCCTTGAGAAGAGGAAATAGCCACTGCTCTCTCTTCCACTGTGAGAGTGACTAAAACCATGTCCCTCTGCACATTGTTCCAAGCTCCTGTTTTCTGATGCACAAAGCAGGAAGAATAAACTGTGACCCACAACACACCTTTGGGAATAAAAGCTACCACCTGACTCTGGTTAGATCCCTAAGTAAGTCCTGTGCTCTGAGAAGGGTGGAGGGAAGCTGGAAATTTTCATCATGTTTTGGGTGGACAAAACGTTTAATGTCAGAAGGACGATCAAGAGAACAGGTAACGTTGACCACGGTGCTGTGCCTGGCTCACCCAACACCATCTCATAGAGTCTCCTGACAACCTCAGGAAAGCTGCTCCCTCAGTTTTCAGAGAGAAATGAAGGTGCAGAATGATGGACTACTTTGCCCACAAGAGTTACTGACAGAGCGCCTGGATATTGTCTCTTCACCCACTAATGGTTATTTCAGTGCTGTGGAGACATTGGGGACTCAGATGTGATAAACTTTGGAAGAACAAAGCTAAAATTTTCTTGTATTGGAGCCCTTCTCTAGGGATGTAAGAGAGTGTCACTTAGAAGTAATTCTGTACATAGCCTTTTATCCTATTATCATTTATTCTGTCTTATACAATAAACAAACAAAAGTTATAAAATGGAAAACTTACCCAAAAAGTTACTTGAGGAAAAAAAATTAAAGCCATAACTCTCGGAAAGAGAATTAGCTGCTGATCCATTTGAGAGGGATCATAAAAAGGAAACCTCATCTGTTCTTTTCCTAAAAGCTTGATAATTATTCCAGAAATCAAACCATCTCCTCCCCCACCACACACGTTCCCTCCCTATTACTTGCTCTGCAAAACTGATCATTTCTGAAGCCGAGATGGGAATGAAAATTAATTTGTCATTTAATTTTTAATAAGTTAAAGACATCTCGGTGACACAGCCTCTCCGTCTGTACGTGCGTGCCGCGGGACTCCTTGAGGAATCCTCAGATGGCAACGAGTGGCATCAAACGCTGCATCTGCCTGAGCAGAAGCACATCAAAGATTGAGCTGTTTAGAGGGGAAAGGGAGAACGCGCGCTCCCCGTGCACCTTGGAATGCAGAGCGAGTCTTCTCAGCAGCAGCTGGAGACAGCCAGGGATCCACCCTGCTTGGTGGGGATGGGGGGGGGGTTGCCTTTGCCTTTGTATTAAACATGGCCTGGCAGGTGTGGGCTGGACTCGGGGCAGAGATGCCAGGCACCAACAAGGCAGATCCCCCGGGGCAGGCTGTGGGCTGTGCCTGCGGGTGAATTCCTTTCTCCTTGCTTTTGCTGTGTCCCCAGACTCCTGCTCTTCACTCTCAATAAGTTGCTTTGGTTTCCTTGTGGCTAAACTTACCATCCCAGCATGGCTACCCATCACTGAAATATGTCTGTCTCTCAAAGGACTTGGCTACCAAAAAACGCTCCAGGGTGTTTTTCGGTCATGATTCTAGAACTAGAGCAAAGGACTAGTCAGTGCTGTCTACTAGTCCTCCAGCAGCCTGCCATGGGGCATGCCTGGTTGAACTTGTTGCTCTTGAGCGTGGGAGACTTGAACGATCACATAGGAGCAGTCCGTTGAGTCCCTCTGACCCCACCTGAGACCCATCTACAGCTTCTCCCATGCTTCTTTTTCTTCTCCAGTGACTTCAGGGTTTCTAAACCCGTAGCCTGCGCGCTCTCCGGCTTTGCTGCCTGTGTATGGTCCTTTCAACTAATTCTTATTTTACACTTTTTCCAGTGAATGATACTAATGTTCAGTTTTTGGACCAAGATGACGATGATGACCCCGACACAGAACTGTACCTCACACAGCCATTTGCATGTGGGACAGCATTTGCCGTCAGTGTCCTGGACTCACTTATGAGTGCGGTGAGTGAACGGAGCACCTGCAGCCTCGACCTTCAGAGCACAGGGCTGGAGCTGGACTGCGTATATATAGTGGGGAGCAGAGCCATGTGGTTTTCAGCCTGGAAGGAAATACTGGTGTTAATCAATGAGCACACAAATAAATGTTTGCTTATAAATTCTTTCATGTGTGAGGAAGGCAAAGAAAGTTATGAATAAATATAGGTGAACACTTGACCTGGTCTCTGGATCAGAAAAAGATTCTCCAAGGAAATAACACATATTTGTGACAAGGGGAGGCATATTCCTTACAGCAGGAAAATGAAAGCAGAGGCATGGTGTGAGGAGAAACTGATATGGTTGGGAAGGCAAAGAAGGCTATAACTGGGCCACGGTTAGAAGGGGAAAGAACAGGACAAGGCCAGGTTGAACCCACACAATCTTGAAGCCCTTTTCATGATTTCAGTCTTACAGAGCAATGAGGAGACACTGAAGGGTTTAAGCTAGTGAGTGATGTGATCATGTTTCTGTTTCAAGGGGATTGCCTTGGCTGGTTTGAGGAGGATGGTTCAGGGAGGTAAGACAAAGTCTGTGTAAGTGGCTGTTGTTACCAAGCAATGAACTTGCTCCCCAAAGTGCATAGTAGTCAGTACTTTGGCACCAGCTTTTGAGAAAGGTGTTTTATTGCAAGTTTGGTCAGCAAGGATTCAGGCAGAAAACCTCATCTCTGCCTTTCTTGCCTAAGGCAGGAAGGGACTTTTTAGGGTTATTTAAGGGGTAGAAACAAGGAAACCTATGGAAATTGAAAAATTAAATTGGTTGATACTGACCCAGTCCATAAGTGGTAACACAAGCTCCTGGCAGCCTTCAAAATGGATCTACCTTGTTGATGAATCTCTTGCCTCTGAAGATTCTCCTTGCAGAACTTTTGCTTTTATTCAGGGTGATCTTTGTTTCCTTTTAGCTGAGGGGCAGTCTCAGATCTGGGTTTTATCCATCTGCACATATTTATCTTGTAGTTTAGCTTAACTGCATCTGTGGAAAACAAGCCTTGAATGGGAAGTTAGATAAGTTGAGTCATAGTGGTTTATTGTGGGTTTTAATGATCTAAGGGTAAATTGACCTCAATTTCACTATCTACCTAGACTCTGGAGAGATGGCAGAGCAGCAGGGAGGTGGAGGAATATGAATGGTATTTTTCAGTAAAATTTATAGGACCTTGAAATAGATATCATATGAACAAAAGGTAGAAGAGGACAAAATGTCAAAGGTAATTTACTCCTAGGTCACTGCCAGTCTCTGAGAGGGGCAGGGCATGAGGGCCAGACCTGTCTATTTCTCTGTTGCACCATGCAGTTGTGGCATAGAAATCAAAAGTATCTTTGGTTTTCTTTATAACTTCATATGCACCAACAATCAAGACTTTTTTTTAACACTTTTGAGACCCCAACATAACAAATGATAATTAAACAGTAGCCCCAGTTTAATGGAGCCATGTGGAATTGCCAAGGACAAAACAGACATTAGAATGGGTCATAACCTGCAGATTACAAAGTGTTCTCATTGCATCTTTATTTATGATATAGAAAAGTCTCTTTATTTTGGAATTCTCAAATTCACAATTTGTGAAAATATAGACATAGATTGCATTAAAACTGACCTTTGGAGAATCCATGAAGTAGAGTTTTATTGGACACATTAAAACCATAAACATAGCTCAGAGAGCTTTTGTACACATAGATTTCTTAAAGTGCTTAAGAAGGTTATTCTCCTGAATGTGTTAAACAACTGATATCCTAATTATTCTTATCTATTCATTAAAGCTAATCCCAGAAGGAGCCTCCATTTGAGGAAAGAAAAGCCATAAAGATTTTCAAGACCTATTTAGGTTATTCTATATTCCTGAACATGGTCTAGCTGCAAGCATATCTGAATTAATAGTCAGAATTATGGATTTAAAAATAATTTTGAAACAGCATTCATTTCAATTCAGGTTCACTGGGTTTCATACCTAACCATTGCTTTCCTGGCCAAGAAAGTGAGAGATGGTACCTAGAGAAAGGTGCTATTGGTTTCCCATAGCTCAGGGCTTTTCTGATCGCCTGGGGACTGAGCCTGACCCTTCTACCTGCGCTGTTGGGCTTAGTTTGGGCAAACTTCTGTAGCAGACCAGAAAGAAAGATAGGAGCTACAGGGTGTGCTCATTACAGTACCATCATCCTCTCTGTCATCCTCATATTCTCCAAATCTGATTTCAAACATTTCTGTAATTCATCTCCTTAGAAATTTTATTTCTAATCCTAATTGGAGAGATTTCAGAAGACTTTTCACTAAGGAACGATAAACTGTTTAGAGTAGATTCTTATTTCAGGACTACAAATGTTTGCTCTATTTTTAAAAAGTTTTTGCTCATTTAAAAAATTCAAATGTATAAAATTATTTATATTCCTGCCTATTAGACATTTAGTGTAGTCCAAACTTAGGACCAGCAACATAATGTGCAAGTCCACTTTTTTCAGATTATTAATAATGTTAGAATGGTGTCTGTAGGCATTCAATCAAGCAAGGGCTCTCCTGAGCATGCATTCTGGGCCTTCATTACATACTTGTGAAGCCAGCTCTGGTTCCAAGAAATAAAACTGGATTTGAACACCAGATAATGTCATCTTATACAGCCAAGTGTGCACGGCTGTCCATGGTATAGGTAGGAATGGGGGCACATCTGGATTTTAGTTTCATCCCTGGAGTCAGTTCTTGGAAACTTAGGTGAGAAAGCAAAGTGAATTACTTTGAAAAAAAAAAAAAAAGCCACCTCACATCTCCTTTGAAATGTAAACTAAAATGTTTGGAGGGGGTTGTTAAGACAGGTATGGATACAATAATCTGAGAACATCATTTTTTCTGAATACCAGTCTGGGGAGGAGGGAAGTATTTCAGAAATCTAGTAACTGTGATTGTCATTATCATCGACAGCATCATTTATTGAGGGCTCAGAACTGTGTGAGGCAATTGGATGCATTATCTGATCCTTTGGACAATAAAGTGAATAAAGTGGTTTCTTGTTGAAGCAAGACATATTTAACTGATCCACTGATAGTAGCTTTTCAAATTATTAATCAGAATGCCTATCCAATTATTTGAGGCCTTATTTTCATTGTCTGGGGCAAACAAGTTTCATTGTGAGGTCTTGAATTGGACCTGATTCCACCAGCCATTGAACCCAGACCTTCTAATAGAATGTTACCTCTGATTTCTTTGCCACTCCAATCCTAATTTATGAAAAAAGAGGAAATTAGTCAAGTGTCAATGCAGTAACTAGAAGGAATGAAAAGGGTTGACTGAGATATGAATTGAGAAAGTGAGACTCTTTCAAATACCAGGAACCAGAGGACAGCTCCCAGGGTGGGCACTCCCTTACAAGTAACATCACGAGCTCCACATCTCTAGATGTCGCTGATCGCCTTTCTCTAGTGCTCCACCCCAAATTGCCATTTTTCAATATATCTAAAATCTCCTGAATATTGTCCTTCCTAACTCAACTCCTGCAGCTTATAGCTTCATTCAATTAAAGAATCAAAATCATGTTTTGATCCATCACAGGCATTCCTGGAACAGACAGGGATGTTGCAGACATGGCCTCACAGCTTTCCCCTGCAAAACCAAGAGCAGACACACATGATGAGAGGGAATAATTCTGCTTCTGGACATATGTCACTTAGTAGAAGATCATAATTAGGAAATGCATTTTTCAGAATGATGCTAACTTGCTGCTCTCACACACACAAAAGATGAAAGGAAACCTGAAATTATCTGAAATTAGCACAAGAGTGTTAGACTTTTTTCCCACACAGTTACCACTTCCCTTCCCCTCACCCCCCAGTTGGAGTCCCATCTGAACCCTCCTGAGAAAGAAAAGATAAAATATGGACTCAAGTCAGACTGCCTGGAAGCAGATCCCAGGAAGCAGATCTTAACCTCTTTTGGCCTAGTTTTCTTTCTTTTTTTTTTTAAAGATTTATTTATTTATTTATACAAGAACAGGGTACAGGCCAGATGCGTGGGAGGGTGAGAGGATTCACCAGAGACAAAGCAGGGAGCAGAACAGGCAGACTGATGAAATACACTGCTGAGGGGTGCAGGAGAGGTCTGCTGTGCCATGTGGGACCCTTGCCGGCCGGCCGGGATCAAACAGGCACTACAGAGGCTGCGGACAGTTTCACAGCACGGCCCTCAACTGCCTGTGCCACCAGGGGAGGCCCTCGGCCTAGTTTTCTTATCTTCAATATGGGCATGATAATAGTACCTTCCTCATAGGATTGTTGAGGTGCTGAAATGAGTTAAGGTTGTAAAGTGATTAGTGTAGCACTTAGCACATGACAAGCTCTGTTTGTATCTGTTGTTACTAATCAATGTATTTATTGGGCACTTATTCAACCAGGCACTCTGGTCCATGTTGGGAATTCAGCAGTGAAGGACAAAGGCCCTGTTCTCAAGATGTTAGAACTTATTCTAATAGGTGGTAACAAAGTGATGATAACTAAGTGATGAAGAAATGAATGATGGCAGTGAGGAATCACTGGTTTGAGGAAGGAGTGTGGAGCTCTATTTTATCCACTGCAGAGTAAAGCTGGTAGGTAACACTGAGGCTGACACTGAAATCTGAAGAGACCACCTGGGATAGATAGTGACAAGCTTTCTAGATAGAAGAAAGAGCCAGGGAAAAGGCTGAAAAGCAGTGACAAGCTGGGTTTGGTTTGTCTGAGGGAATAGTGGGAGACCTGTGTGGTTTGAATGTAGTATATCTGGAGAGAGATGCACAAGAAGCTGTCAGAGAAGGCCTGGGCCACACTATGAGTCCTTTGAATACAAAAGCCCATGTCTGGTGAAGTTCCAAGTCCAGGGTTAGACATTTATGTCTTGATGAGAGGGTGTGCCTTCTTTCCCATGCCATTGGCGTCCTCATACTGCTAGTTTCCTATGTGTGCTGGTTGGAAGGACAAATCCACTAAGTTGCTTCCTGAGAT